CCCTTATAGAATCTTCTCCATGCCTCGAGACACTTGTTGTACAGTGCAGTGACTTCAATGAGGACTCCCATGAGGTATCTATACAGCTCCAGTTCCTGGAAATTTATGCGATTTACTCCTTAATATATTTGTGTTGCTTATGATCCAGGATAATGTTTAGCATCTATTAATTAGTGTTATGTTGGCAGTTTTGAATTGAACTTTCTAGTATCTTTCAACTACAGTTTGCCTTAGAGTTTTTCACATTTTTGCGGCACTGATAACATTTGTTTCTCAACTTGTATGAATATTGATCCATCACATATATTCATGTATTCTTCACATGTGAAGCATTACAAGTAAAATACGAACAATAATTTTTCCAGGTCAGAACAATCTTGTAATCTCACGTAAGAACATATGATCAATTAAACTGGTCAGAATGTTTTAGTTCGTTAGTTCCATTTGGAATCATTCTGTTTTTAACTTTTTTCATGTCTGAACATTCGCACAAATCGAAGACTGGAAAATGACATTATTCCATCTTCCTTGTACTGTGGCCAATTGTTCCTTGATTTCTGTTGGGACTGATTTTCCTATGGTTATCTTTGTGTGGTTCATTTAGGAAACCATCTGGACATTGGGTCCAGCCGTAAAGGATTTGGATTGTGACTTGTTGCATTTGAAGAGAGTTCAATTACTCGACTGTGCTGATCCGTATCTTGAAGGCGAGCCAATGCTAACACTGGCCAGAATCCTGCTTAAGCGGGCACCAGTTTTGGAAACTATAGTTGTTGATGGAAATGGATACTCGCCTGATGAGTCTCTCAATGTGGCTCAAGTCCTTCATAGTTGGCCCAGATCCTCCCAAAAAGCAATTATCACTTTCAATCAATGATCCTGAAATTTGTTCAGCAACGGTGATTCGCCATTTGGCGATTTAATTATATTGCAATAAGAGTATGTATAAACCAGTTATAATGTTTTTTTTTTTTTTTTTATAGAAAATCCGAACAAAGTTATTACAGTAGACACAAGTGAATGAGATAATCTACAGGGTTTAGAAAGATGGTGAAGTAGCAATTTATTTGTATCAGTAATATGATTTTGGAGGTGCATTCATTAAACCTGTATCCTTATATTCAATGTATCATATTGGAAAAAATGTTACAATTCTTTATGCTGAATCCAGACCAGTGACCGATATTTCTCCTTTATATGTGTGTGTGTGAAAGAGAGAGAGACCACATTATTTATACTTTTGAAAATGATATCTCTTGAACTATGAATATCTCATTCTTGAGTTGGTCTTACTAAATATGATAGTTCATAAATACTAGGATTGGTTCAAGCGGATGAAATGAAAACGAAGCACATTGTGTCGATCGTGTTATAGAGTGTATTTACATAAATTATTGCATTGTGTCGATTGTGTTATTTATATAAATTATTGCATTGTGTCGTGATATGAATAAAGTAGTGTTATATTGTATTTACATAAATTATTACATTGTTTCGTTGTATGGACAATATAATTTACTATATTTAAACTCATAGAGTGTAGATGTAGAATCTCGACTCTCTAGTGAAAGACAGAGCCCGCGTGGATGGATAATTGTTTTGGAATACGATGTTCAAAATAGAATTATTTTTAAGTTATTTCTAAATATTTCATAAATTACAATATAATATAATTAAAAACCAATAACAAAAAATAAATCATAAAAAAGTGAGTATGTATATATGTATATGCGTGTTTTTTCGTTTTGGGATGGGATTGGGAAGGTAAAACAGTTTTTTGCATTTCAGATTGGCCTAAAAGTAAAAGGCCTACAGCACACTCAAGCCTGAAACCCTCAATCTGGTTTTGTTTGAAATTATTCGCACCAGAGAGAGCGGGAGGCGCAACCATTTCCTCGATCGGCTGCGAGCTTTTCCCTTTCGGATCTTGCTTTCACCCCCTAACATTGAAGACTCTAATGAGTCGTCTATTTTGCTTGAAGCGCCCGTTTTTAGCCTAGTATGTGGACAGAATCGCTTTCCAATTAACGAGGAGGTACTCTGTCATTAGCTAGCCTTTGGAGTACCTTTGTTTTGTCTAACCCAGGTTTCTATTTGTTGATTCTTTCCTTGTGGAAAGAGATCCAAGTTCCCTCTTCTGAGGATGTGGTTGGAGTTGACGTCAGTCAAAGTCACTTTTCAGGCTAAATAAGAAATTAGTTGACCTTCGCGTGATCTTGATGAAGCCTATCGGAAAAGACAGACAAAATGAGGTTTGAATCGCTATAATCAGAGCGCATTTTTGCCTAATTTTCTGTTTCTAACTAAATGCAATGAGTGGCCAAAGAGTGGCGGATGAAGATTTTGGCGAATGTGGACTGAAAAATGAAGCGGCAAGGACGAGAGAAGTATTTGCCGCAGACAAGGGACGGGCGCTGTCATCTGACAATAAACGGGCTAAGGAGACAGCCGTCGATAGGCTGAGTGAGCTGCCAGATTCCTTAATCATCCACATCCTTTCTTTCCTGGGCTCTGATGTGACCAAAGCTGCTGCTACCTGCGTGCTGTCCAAAAGATGGCAATATATCTGGCCTCAACTGCCTAGGCTGGCCTTCTTGAACCGCACATGGGATTTGGAAAAATCAAGCAATTTCGTGTCATGGGTCCATAGGACCCTTCTTTTCCGCACCACTACTCATTTGGAGGAGTTTGAGGTCCGCTTTCTGTACGACGAGTGCTATGCCTCAGATGTCAACGCTTGGATACGCATTGCCCTTAGAAATAGAGTGAAAATTCTTAGCTTGCAACTCCATTCCGAAACATGTCTTCACATTCTTCCCCAGGTTTTGTATTCCTCTTCTTCCTTGGAGTCCTTGTCCTTGAGTCGCTGCATTTTGGGTCCACAGAGCACGATTGAGTGGCCATCTTTGACTTGGTTAAGTGTTTGGAAAGTGGAGCTAAATGAAGGTGTGATTCAAAAGATACTATCATGTTGTCCTGTTCTGCGTATGCTGGGGCTCACATCATGCTGGGGATTCAGGCGTCTGGATGTAAATTCCGAGAGTATTAAAGACCTTACGGTGTTGGACTATCAAGATAACAGCATATTAGAATTGATGAATATCTCGGCACCCTTTCTACACGGGTTACACATCTCATTTTGTCCAATACAGACAAAAGTGCAGCTCATGAATGTATCATCCCTTCTTAGTGCCAACATCGGTTTCTGTGTACCCAATGTAAATGTATCTGTTGAGGTAATGAATGACACAATGGAACTTCTTGAAAAGACTCAACATGCCAGTGGACTTGTACTAGGAGGCGCATGCATTAAGGTATAAATCGATACTATTAATTTGCATTCTTGTTTATCTATTGGCCTTTCAAGATAACTTCACAGTTTGGTTATATTGAGTTTGTCCAGATATCTATTCAGTCATTGTGGTATTATTTTCGGTTATCTCATTGAGTGAGTTTTCGAGTATGAATTTCAAAATTTTTTGGAAATTACTTCAAAAAATGAGTGCATGGAATTGCTTGTCTTCTTTTAATTTGCTTCCCAAGAATTATGTGTATGAAAGTATTGGGTGCCAAGAACAATGTACCAAGCATTTATTCCATCTTATAAATGAGTTACGGACATGAAGAGATGGATATTAATTTTTGTCAGCAAGCACTACAAGTAGTGAACCACAGTGAATACAATTGGATTGGTTTTCTTGCTATTGACCGAGACTTGGGGATAATATGTTTATTGTCTCATTACATGTTGGTTGATAACCATAAATCTGCAATGATTTTTCTAATTTCAAATGAGTTTAGTAATTTATGCGTAAATGGGTAGCGAAAATCAATCATATTCTTTTGTAGTATGGAAATTTCCTGTTTTGATGGGAGATCTAGCACACAACTGAGTTTCTTTGTTTATATGCTACTGTAAAATGTATGTTAGGTTCTATCAAAGTTGGTGGCGCGTGGGTGGCGGCCTCCACAATCGTCTAAGCGAAATTGGTTGTCGTTAGAAACTTTGCGGGAGGAGATTAGCATTCCCGGAATACTTGCCCTGCTCGAATCTTATCCAAACCTCGAGACGCTTCTTATAGAGAGTTGTGACTCTTACAAGGTATATAATTCATTTCCAATTTAGGTGGCTAGCTCAATATATATTTGTTTCATGCTTT